ACTAGGAACCTTCAATCTACAATATCAACATCCAATGGAACCTAATATTAGTAACAAATTCCATAACTTAAGCCATTTAGGCATATTATCAAACGCCTTGTAGGCATAAATCTCTACATCTTATCACCATATAATTAGTGCATCTAACTACCACCATTCATCAACAATTTATCCCACCATCATGATTAACCAATTTATAACTTCCAACATCACATATATGATCATCCACCCACACCCAATCAACAAAGTTCCATTAAATAATCATCTTTTAATCTCTATAATAACTATGTAGTTAAATTGGGAACTTATAGCTTCCAATCACCATACCAAGAGTTCCAATACTTATTCATACTCATATTTCCTTAATAAATTCAAACATGTAAGTCTAAGGGTGTAGGATTACATTTTTGGAAGAAATCTTACAAAAACCTCTTTTGAGTTCTTGAAGAAATCTCTTGAAGATCTAAGTATTTTATGTGTAGATTTCATTAATACTAGTCTATAAGTGATGGAATTCATACCAAGATAAAGAGGATTTCTTACCTTGAAGGTGGGATGGGTTGGAGGCCTTGAGAGAGTGGATGAAAACTCTAAATTTCGTCCAAATGAAGTGGGGAAAATAACCCCCGAAGGTTTTAACAAAGGTTTGCACAGTCGCGGTGTAACGACTCGGTCGTTTGTTCTAAAAGTTATAGCCTTATTTTCCCCATATATGCTTATTTATGTGTTGTTCAGTTGTGTTGAGTTGTATCGAGTTGGTATTCTTGGGTTCGGAGTAGGTTTGGAGTGAAATGAACACTTAGTCTCTTAGTTAGAAAGCTAAGTTAGAAAAGTCAATCGGAAGTTGACTTATGAGTAAACGAATTCGGATTTGGATTTTTATGATTCGATTAGCTTCGTTGGGTGATTTTTAGACTTAGGAGTGTGTCCAGAATGTAATTTTGAGGTCCATGGTAGAATTAGACTTGAATTGGCGAAAGTTGGAAGTTTAGAAATTCTTAGACTTGAATTCGAGGTTGATTGGGTGTTTTGGTGTTGTTTTGGGTGTTATGAAGGTTTGACTAAGTTCGGGTAGTGATATATAACTTGTTGGAATTATTAGTTGAGGTCCCGAGGGCCTCGGATGAGTTTCGGAGAGGTTTGGGTTGTGTTGCGCTCGTTTTTCTTATGTTTCGACGTCGTTTCTTCAAGCATAAATGATATCATATTGAACAAATGAGCTTAGATTTCTTTTTTGATTGAATCATTAGATCCGTATCGTAATTACGGACCCATAGCAAAAAGAATGATCAAATTTGGACATTGTATGAGGATTTTAGGGTCATTTTACTAAGGATTAGGTTGCCAGAGTTTTCAGATTAATTACGAAATTGTCACTGACGGCGTATTTAAAAATCTGCACTATTTGCAAATATTAAAACCTATATATCTCATTCATTATAAGGGCAAATTGAGTGATTCAAAAGCCTAACGTGACTAAAATGTCACTAGGAATCCATTGGAGGCATAAAATACGAGTTTTGAGATCGTTTGGCATGATAAACGAGGCAGAATAGCTGGCAAAAATATATGAAACTATGGTTTGTTCATTCGATCATATTTTGAGTTGGGGAGCCTGGATTTGGACGATTTTGGAGGAGATTTTCACCATATATATTGGGGTAAGTATTCTCGAATCAGTTTTGGTTATATTTCATGAATACATCTTCGTTTTTGGGATTTGATTGATGATTTCAAAGTGAAATTGAGGGAGTTAGGGTTTGAGTTTTGGAGAGATTTAAGTGAGGATTTGAGGGACCAAACAGAGTCCAATTTTGACAAATTTTATATGGTTAGACTCGGGAGAGGACGAGGGTTTTGATTATGTCATTTTTTACTGAATTCGAGACGTGTGCCCGGGGCTGGGTTTTGGCAAATTTCGGATTTTTGGCATATTTTATAGTTTTTATTGTAAAATTCGATTACTTAGCACATGGTGATGGTATTAATATGATTATGGTTAGATTTGGAGCTTTTGGAGACCGAGTTCAGAGGGAGGGCATCCCGTAATAGGATTTTACGCTGTTAAGGTAAGTAACAATTTTAACTCTTGCTTTGAGGGTATAAACGCGGAGAAATTGATATCATGTGATTGTTTGGTGGTGATACCCCATACTAGGTGACGGGCTTGTGGGTGTGCACCGCGAGGGATTGAGACTTGGTCTGTCCTATGAGGATGTGAGGCCTAATGGCTATTATCGGTGGTTATGTGTTTACTTGTTGTTGAACTTGTTTGCCTTCATGTTAGAGATCATGTTTAGGCTTTATTTATGCTCACATTATTTGTACTCAGTCATAGAAGTTATTGTACATATTTACCTCAGTCTCTATTATTTGCTAATATGTTGTGATACTTGATGTGGGTTGTGCTCCCTTATTTGTTGATGATGGTAAGGCTAGTGAGGTACATGATTGAGTAAGGCCGAGGGCCTGGTTGTGAGGATATTAATACCATAGCGCGTGAGCTGTCCGCATAGCACGTGAGTTGACCGTGCGGGTCCAGGTATTGATACCATAGCGCGTGAGTTGTCCACGTAGCACGTGAGTTGACCGTGCAGATCCAGGTATTGATATGGTAGCATGTGAATTGTCTGTGCTTAGCGCTTTGGATTTGGGAGCCCTTCCGGACACACCCCCAGTGAGCGCAGAGTGTTGAGTGTATTGAGTGTGGAGTGCTGAGTGATAGAGTGACATTGCTGTCAGGTTGCATTTACTTTTGTTGTTGCTGCATTTTACCTGTTAATTTCTTTGTGGCATTTATTGAGTTATGGAATTTACCTGTTTATTCTTGTTATTTCTAAATTGTGAAAATAAATAATTAGACTATTTTTCTTAGCTCATCACTACTGCTCAGTTCCTTAGTTATTTCTGTTACTACTGGGGTGGTTATACTCATACTACACCCTACACTTTATGTGCAGATCCAGGTGAGTTAGAGCACGGTGATCGTTGGGTTCAAGCCGGATATCTGTGGAGATTGTAAGGTAGTTGCTAGTGTCCGCATGACCTTGTTACTCCTCTTGTCATTTCTTCTTTTGGACAGTTAGACAGTTTATATGTCTTAGTTTATGGTTTTAGACGCTCATGACTCAGTGACACCCCGATGTTTGGGGCTCGTTTTCGTATTTTTCTATATTATATTTAGAGTTGATTTAGTTTATGAAAAATTTTAATGTTAAAAGGTTTTGTTAATTTCTTATAATCGGTTTAGTAGTAATATTTTGGGAAAGAGGCTTGCCTTGTAACACGATAGACGCCATCACGACCATGGTTAGATTTTGGGTCATGACACGCGGCGCAAGGGGCGCCGCGTGGGGTGGTGCGGTAATGAGATATGTGTCTAGAACAAAATTTGGAAGTGTTCTATAAATCTACAAAGCCATGCCGCATGGGGCGGCGCAGTAGTGTATAATTATGCCAGCTTTTGGTAATTTGGTCATAACTTCTGGTAAGAGTGTCCAAATGATGAACGGTTTAAAGTTTTAGAAACTAGACTCCAAGATCTTTTATTTGATAGGGTTTTCACCACATAACACCTTATATAAATGTATATATGCTCATACAAACTTTGATCGTGTGCGTGCTCATTTGGAATTTTAGTCTACCATGAAATTTTCAAACTTGACTTAGACCTAGGTCACTCCTTGGACCCCAAATCACTTACAATATACCTAGTACACTTATTATCATATCCATTTGATAACCATCACATTAGTGCTCATTTAATGCATCCACAACTGATTCAAATTTATGGGGTGTTACAACTCACTTTATCTTTGCTCGAAAACTCTTCATGTTTCCGAGAAAAGAGGGCCAGCTGTGAGCACGTAATTTTTTCCCTGCAAAAACATTCCTACAAAATCCAAAAAAATAATTTTTTTCTAATTGTTTTTGAATTTATAGAATTTCAGGAATTCCTCTTTAATTGTTTATTTGCATTTAGCTGCATTTTCTGCATATCTAATATTTTAATATCATGAAAAATACCATAAAAATATTCAAAAATTTCATGCATTACATTTTAGGTTTTTTATTTACATTTTTAGGATTTAAGTTGTCAATTAATTGCATTGTTAAACAAAAATCACAAAATAATGGTCATTTTTAAATTTCTAGCTTTTAGTTTTAAATTAGTAATTTTCTCTCATTAATTTTAAGTTAATTAATTATTTAATTGGTACAAATAGATAATTAAGTTCCATTCTATAAATTAGATTTAAATTAGAATTTAATTTAGGTTTTAATTAATTTGAGTAGGATTTAAAATTAAAGGAAAAGAAAAGAAAGAAAAAAGAAGAGAAGCAATTTTCCACTTCAAAATACTGGGTCAAATTCTAATATCCCAGCCACCCTAAGTCACCCCAAGTCCAGACCTCCCAAAAATCCGGTCAAGCACCCCCTCTAAGCGAAACGACGACGTTTTGTCATGTTCCATCGTAGTCGTTCGTTGATCAAGATCAGACGGCTGTGAACTGAAGCCCCTCCCCCCTTAAAACTGTTCGAAATTCCCCCATCTAACCCCAGGTACCTCCTCACACTTCATCTCATTCATTCTTTGTCCCGTCGTTACTGGAAATTGCCCCACGGCGGCGGCTCGTCGCCAAACCACTCCAAATTTTCACTAGACAATCCTCAGCCTTCCCCCATATCTAATCCCCCATTAATTTCCCAAAATCCTCAACAAGGTCACCGAATTTCAAATCTGAGATTACAGAAAACCTAAGGTTATCTCTTTATGATGTTTTCTTTTACTCATTTTGGACTCGAACTTACGAGAATCAATTGCTCTTAATACGAGCAATTGATTAATGCTAGTTTGAGCCCATTTCGATGTCGCCGAGTTGTGGTCGAACACTACCAACCGGTCAAGTTCCAATCACCCCAATTTTGGAGTTTGAAGGTATCTTTTGCTTCCCAACATTTCCATGTTTTTAGTGTTCCACCTTCGTTTGTTTTACTGGCCGCATTTTTTTTTATCTTGATGAAATGTTTAAGTTTGCTCGATTATTGACTATTGTGTGCATTAATCATTGTTTGTTCAGCACTAGAATAAGGTATTGATGATCATTCCTTTTAGCTTTTGAATTGATTCTACAGCAAGTAGTAGTTCATAAGGACTAAGTTAGAATTTTGAATTATTTTCAATTGATAAACGATGGTGCATATTTTCAATAGAATGGATCAGTTGCTTTGGGTTGAGAGTGTGAATTGGGCTAAGAATCAGGCCCAAATGCAGGCCCAATCTGAGTTTGGTTTAAAATCTGACAGAAAGAGTAAAAATGAAGATTTAGAAAGGGCATTGAGGGGTTATGACTTGAGGAATCTTTTCTGTTACAACTAAAAAGAAGTTTTTATAAGAAAGAAAAGGGCTGGTATCTGCAAAAGAAAATAGAAACAGCTTAGATTTTGGGGCCTAGGAGTCAAATAAAAAAAGTTTGAAGGGTAAAAGTGAATTAGAAAATCAGGTTTTTGTTACCCTAAAATCTTCTATAAAAGGATCCTTTTCTCATTCATTAGGGGGATCTTAGACATAAAAAAAGTCACGGCTGCTAGAAATTCAGGTTTTTCTTTGAAATTTGAGTTTAACAGCTGTTAAAAACACTCCAAAATCAGAGTAAGATATAGTCAAAAGGGAAAGATTGAAAGCTGTTTCTAATCTCTTTGGATTCTTGCATCATTTCTGGGTTCAAAGTTTGGTTTGGTTTGAAGAAATTGCTGGTTTTATTGTTGCTATTGTTTATCTGGAATTCAAACTATCATCCTGATTTCTGTTGTCGCTCTGTTTTGAGTTGTGTCGTTGGCTATAATCCTTGGTTTTTACTTGGCAAAAATTCAGCTTCATTTACAAGTTTAGGTACACACCTCTCACTTGTAATCTGTTTTGATCCATATTAAAATATAGGTTGTTTGTCTTTGAAGTTATTTGCTGCAGTATTTAATCTTATTGTTTGTTTGGTTTTAAACATAAATTGGATGTTTAGCTTCAATACAGTAATTATATGAAGATTGTTATAGATTTGCTTATTAAAGACAGATTGTTAGTAGTGATTTGTGACCTTAAAATATCTCTCTGGTATTATTAAACTAACATTAGTTTCTTAATTGAATAATTATGTTTGCTCTGTTACAGTTCCTTATTAATGATGTTTGCAAGGCTTGAACATTTGTTGGAGGATCGACAGTACAATTAATGTGATTACGTAATCCCTTCAAGACTGAATCTGATGAGAAGCATGTACAGTTAATAAGAACATATGAAGTTTGGATAGCTATAGGTCATTTGTTTTAAGATCATTTGGAATCAAAAGCATGTGAATCTATTATTTATTCTAGATTTTAGTAACATTGAATGTAATCGTAACCGGTATTGTAATCTGTTAGAAAATTATAGGTGTGGCATGTTGCTTCTTCAATTCTGATCTGTAATATGTCAAATAGTTTAACATGGTCAATGTTAAAAGCAATATAATTTTAGTCTCTTGCTTCAAAATAATGGCTACAATATTTCGACTATTCTTTTTTGGATAAATATTTTGGATGCAATTAAAGTTAAATATAGAGATTTGTCTTATTGGTTAAAAGGAATGATGAATGGAATTTACGTTTCTAGATTATTATAATCTAATGTGGATTTTGGATGATTTTATGATGATAATTTAGGCTATGTTGTAAAGAGATTTGTGTTTGTTAAATTTAATCTGTGTGCCCCCTTCTTCACGTTATTGGGCTGAGTAATAGATTGGCCCATTTTTGAAATCTCCAAATGATTGAGGGGATAATTAACAAGGGTCTGCTTGAGACCCAAATGGGCGAAATCTTTCAAGGCCCAGCTACTCTATGGCCAGGGCTCTAATTAAGCCTAATTTGCAAGACTAAACCTTTGAATACATAGCTACCCCATTTTGGTTGGAACATAAGGTTAAAACTATGTAGTTCCTTGTAAGATTTAAAACGCACATCCCATACCACTACACTTATCCATATGCAAAGACCTTGCAATAATCTCAAAGTAGTTTTAAGAAAAAATGATAGAATCAAAAGCATCGTAGTTTGCTTTAGGCGCGTAATTACATCGTCACGACTATGGGTACGGTTCCCGTGGCATAACCGTGATACATAATCCCCAATCGGGTGCATATTTCATATGACTCGGCCATAACTTCAAATAATAATAAAAATAAACATGTTGTCGATCGCAGGTGCGTTTCACGTGACGCGATTCGCAATGTGTACAAAAACAATAAGTGCGTGACATCCCAGCTTGTTCAAACAAATCCCATAAATACTAAAATTTGTCAAAAGTAAAAATGCACAATAGGTTCAAATATGTATTAAATTAGATAATTAGGTCAATTATTAATAGTTGAGGAACCGTGCTAAAATCACGAAACTCGGGAGTGCCTCACACCTTCTTTCGGGTTAACAAAATTTTTTACCTGATCTTCTGATTTCGCGGACTTTAGAACAGAGTCAAAATTTTCTTGATTTGGGATTTAAAATAAACCGGTGATTTGGGACACCAAAATAATATCCTAAGTGGCGACTCTGAAACTAAATAAATAATCTCATTTCGAATAGTGTCACTTTAATTGGAAAAACTCCCAATCCCCTCGGGAAAAAGAAGGTGTGACAGTTGCGACATGTGATAAATGTTTTTCTAAGTAAACATTACGGATAATTGATTGACATGATTTCGAATTCGCTTACGAGGCGCGATTATGATAATTAATAAATTTTGTTTCGATCAGCATTCGCTTGCGTAGCGTGGTTATGACAATTTAATATTATTCAATGCATCTTTTAATAAATGCAAGCAATAAAAGTTGATATAGGCAAAGCATGAAAACTAAATAAGACATAGTTTATCCAAATTAATTCAAGCCAATTTTAGTCGATATAAGTTATCGTGCTAGAACCACGGGACTCGAGGAATGCCTTATACCTTTTTTCGGTCAACAGAATTTCTTACCCGGACTTTATTTTTACAAACCAATAATAAAAGAGTCAAATCTTCCTTTGAATAGGGATTCAAATAAAAGGTGACTTGAAATACCCAAAAATCAATCCAAGTGGCGACTCTGAACGATAAATCCTTATTTCAAATTGTCATTTTAATTAGAAAAACTCTTTTAACCCTCATCCATAACATATATATCTTGCGGGGTAAAAAATGATGTGACAGTTATGATAATATGAGACATTATCATTCAAAATTACAGGAATATCTATTATTACACAGCTTCAAAACACAATAAAGGTTAGAAAATTACCTCAAATCACAAGTAATTCTAAAACATGAGATGGATCGTCGATATACTTCCGGAGCATAGAAACATGAAATACTGGATGCTCACCCGACAAGCTAGGTGGCAAAGCAAGCTCATAATCCACCTCCCCAATCCTCCGAAGCACCTCAAATACCTCAATAAACCGAGGGCTCAACTTGCCCTTCTTCCCAAATCTCATAACACCCTTCATGGGTGAAACCTTCAGTAGAACCTTCTCCCTAACCATATAAGATACATCATGAACCTTTCTGTCAGCATAACTCTTTTGTCTTGGTTGTGCTGTACGAAGCCGCTCCTAAATCACTTTCACCTTGTCCAAAGCATACTGTACCAAGTCTGTACCCAAAAGCCTAAGCCTCGCCTGGCTCAAACCAACCTACTGGAGATCTAAACCGGCTCCATATAAAGCCTCATATGGAGCCATCTGAATACTCGACTGATGTTGTTGTAAGCAAACTCTGCGAGCAATAGAAACTGATACCATGAACCCCCAAAATCAATGACACAAGCGCGCAACATGTCCTCTAATATCTGAATAGTGCGCTCAGACAGTCCGTCTATCTGAGGATGAAAAGTTGTGCTCAACTCAACCTGAGTACCCAACTCTCGTTGCACGTCCCTCCAAAACTATGATGTAAACTGAGTACCTCTATCTGAAATGATGGAAACTGGGATACCATGCAGGCGAACAATCTCTCAGATATAAATCTTAGAAATGATTGGGCACACATATCCGGCCCTGCATCCTCAATACCCCATCATCACCAATAGTCACATCTCTGGTATCATCATGCAGAACCTTATCCTTGAGGACAAGCAAATGAGGATCATCATATTGGCGCTCTCTGATATGATTAAACAAGGAAGACCGAGAAACCACACAAGCTAGGATCCGACTGGGCTCCGAAATATCCAACCTCACAAACCTATTGGCCAAGGCCTGAACATCCATTGCCAGAGGTCTCTCGCTAACAGGAAGGAATGCAAAACTACCCATACTCACTGCCTTTCTACTCAATCCATCGGCCACCACATTAGTCTTTCCTAGATGATACAAAATAATAATATCATAGTCCTTTTGGCAGCTCCAACCATCTCCACTACCTCAAATTGAGATCCTTCTGTTTGAACAAGTGCTGGAGGCTACGATGATCAGTAAAACCTCACAAGATACACCATAGAGATAGTGCCTCTAAATATTCAATGTGTGAACAATGGCAGCCAACTCCAAATCATGAATAGGGTAGTTCTTCTCATGGGGCTTTAACTGACGAGAAGCATAAGCCATCACTCTACCCTTCTACATCAACACACACCCAATGTCGACCTGAGAAGCATCACAATATATTGTATAAGAACCTGAAGCTGATGGCAAAACTAACACTAGAGTTGTGGTCAAGGCGGTCTTGGGCTTCTGAAAGCTCGCCTCACACTCAACCGACCACCTAGCACCCATTTGGGTCAATTTGGTCAAGGGTGATGCAATAGATGAAAATCCATGAATGAACCAACAGTAATAACATGCCAAACCAAGAAAGCTACAAATCTCCATGGCTGAGGACGGTCTGGGCCAACTTTGGACCGCCTTTATCTTCTTCGGATCAACCTAAATACCTTCACTGGATGCCACGTGCCCCAAGAACGCCACTGAACTGAGCCAAAACTCACACGTGGAGAACTTAGCATAAAGTTTCCCCTCCCTCAACCGTTGCATTACAACTCTCAAATGCTCGACATGCTCCACCTGGCTACGAGAATACAACCAGGATATCATCAGTAAATACAATAACAAATGAGTCGAGATAAGGCCGAAACACACTCTTCATCAAATGCATGAACGCTATTGAGGCATTGGCCAGTACAAAGACACACAAGGAACTCATAATGACCATATCGGGTCCTGAAAGATATCTTAAGAATGTCTGAGTCCCTAATCTTCAACTTGTGATACCTTGTGCTGAGATCAATCTTGGAGAACACCCTCACTCTCTGAAGCTGGTCAAATAAATCATCAATACGAGGCAAAAGATACTTGTTCTTGACTGTGACTTTGTTCAACTACGTGTAGTCAATGCACATTCTTATAGTACCATCCTTCTTCTTCACAAATAGAACTGGTTCACCCCAAGGTGACACACTAGGTCGAATAAATCCCTTATCAAGGAGTTCCTGAAGCTTCTCCTTTAATTCCTTTAACTCCCCTGGTGCCATACGATACAGAGGAATGGAAATAGGCCGAGTGCCCAGCACCAAATCAATACCGAAGTCAATATCCCTGTCCGGCGGCATGCCCGGCAGGTCTACAGGAAACATATCCGTAAAATCTCTCACCACTGAAACCGAATCAATAGTAGGAGTCTCTGCACTAACATCCCTCACAAATGCCAAATAAGAAAGACAACCCTTCCCAACCATCTGTCGGGCCTTCAAATATGAAATCACTCTACTGGGAACATAATCCGACGAACCTCTCCACTCAATCCGGGCACACCAGGCATAGCCAACGTCACCGTCTTAGCATGACACGGAGACAACCAATCCATGGCCAATATCATATCAAAATCAATCATACTAAGCAGCAAAAGGTTTACTCGGGTCTCCAAACCCCCAATAATCACCATATACAACTGATACACGTAGTCCATGACAATAGTATCGCCCACAGGAGTAGATACATGAACAAATGAAATAATAGGGGCGTATCCAAATAACGAGCAAAATATGACGACACATAAGAAAAAGTGGAACCATGATCAAATAATACAGAGGCATCCCTGTGGCTTACTGAGATAATACCTATGATCACAGCATCTAAAGTAATAGCATCCAGTCTGGCAGGGAGTGCATAGAAACGAGTCTGACTGCCACCTGATTGGCCTCCCCCTCTAGGGTGACCCCTAGTTGACTGACCTCTACCCCGAGCTGGCTGGACGAGTGCGGAAGTAATTGGTGTTGAAGCTGAAGGCTGACTCCTATGCTGGGATGAACCTCCCATAAGGTGGGGACAGAATCTCTTGATATGACCCAAGTCTCCACACTCAAAGCAACCTCTCCTAGTAAATGGCAGTGGGGACTAAAGGTAGCCCCGAGCACCGGGATACCCACTAGAAGATCTAAGCATAGATGAACCCTAAGTTGATGGTGCATGAGTCGAACTTTAAGATGGAAGGGCACTGAAAGATTAGTGGCC